GGCGGCGAGGGGCGGCGAGGGGGCCCGCAGTGCGTGCGCCAGAGACAGAGACGAGAGAAGGCCGATGAGTTTATTTCAGCGCGAATCTTCACGCCCCACTTAGGGTCTGTCAGAAAATGAGAAAAAGGCGATTCAGGCATTCTTTTCGACGCTCCCTCAACTTGCCTCGCACCACCCCCTACACACTCTCTCGCTCCCTCCCACTCCCTCCCTCTCTGAAACGAACTGGTCTCTTTGCCCAGGTCGGTCGCCTGCCTGGCGGCGCGGGGCTCGGCGGGCTCGCCTCGTAAAGTTATAGCGAGACCGTCTTCTCTTTCCCGAAAACTTTCTGACAACCAGCACGATATCATTGGCATCAAATGTTCATTCCGAGTAGAACAATGCCATCGTCTCGGTGATGAAGCTGCTCCGCCCTTGGGCCGGGCTAAGCTGGGCGCGAGCCCTACACAGCCGAGCCTGGGGGCGCGGCGGGGCGGGGCGGCGGTGCGGACGGGGCGCGCTCCGGCGCAGGTTTGTCGGCCGTTGGACACTTGTCGATGTGATGTCGGCGGGATTGCCGACCTCAGCGGAACAGCCGGCCAGGCCGCCCCGGGCAAATATTGGCAGCGCCTCGGATAATCCCCGGGCGATTAAAGCGGAATGGAGGAGTCACCGCGCCGGGCGGCCGTATGATGGCGAGGGAGTGGGGGTGGCGCCGACTATTTGGTTGAACGAAACCGTTTCACCCTTGCAACGCTAGCACGGCGGGCTGGTACGCCAATGGTTCGATAATACTTGGACGAACGGGCTTATCTATCGTGAACGAATGAAACAGCAGGGCTCGGAAATCTTTATAAACAGTATGGAAGCAAAACACAAGACTTGCGGACACAACCGTGGAAAGGTATTACAAAACACGTTAAAAAGATATAGAACAGTACAAAAATTGGGTGAAAACAATTCAGATAAACAAATTGCACAATAATATAAAACAATATGGTTCAAAAGGGGAAAACGGACATAAAACAAAATAATTCGAATAACAACGTAAAACGAAACTAGAAATATTAGGGAAAGCACTCTGATCGCGGGGGACAGGAGAAGCACGCCGAGCGCAGTCTGATTTGGCGCGCAGGCGTGGTTGTTGGCGGTGATGCAGGGGCAGGTCCAGGCGCGGGGACAGTCGCGGCGGCAGTCGCGGGCGCGGGCGCGGGCGCAGCGGGCGGGAGCACCACGTTGCCGGCGGGGCGGGGCGAGGGCTGTTTGGCGCGCGGAGCCTCCTCCGGCTCCTCGCGACCCTCGTCCGGGGCCTTGCGCTTCCGGAGGTCCAGGTCGGGGAGGTGCAGCTCGGAGCAGCGGAGGTCGGCGAGCAGGCGGGTGGCCGTCTTCTGGTCGGCGAGCGCCTCCAGGGCGGACACCTCGGCGATGAGGGCCTTGAGGTGGCGGCCGCGCGAGGCGAGCCGCGTGTGACGGGGGACACCAATCGGCCCGGGCAGCCCTGATGAGGACAAGAACCTCGTCATCGCGCACCTCGGTGGGACTGTCGGCCCCGCGGAGGCGCGCTTACCTTCGGTCGGGCACACGGCCCTGCGCAGCGCCACGTACAGGCCCTCGGTGTGGCGGAGCTGGGCCTCGCGGCGCAGCCCGGCGGCCGACAGATGGAGGACGCGCTTCTGTAGGATGCGCACCTGTGGGTGAAGGCCTCGTGCCTGTTACTCCGAACATCGTCTACTCGAGCGCCGTGGAGCTACGCGGCACCGGTCGACGGCGTCCTTCTCCCACGGCCATCAAGTACCTTGAGCAGGAGCTCGAAGGCGGGCGGATCGACACCCTCCAGCTTGCGCCAGCGGTGCACGTTGAGCGGGCAGGACATCTCGTCCTCCAGGGCGCGCAGGCGCACCTGGTCGCGGGTGAGGTCCTGGAGCGCGCGGTACAGCTGGGCGCGCAGCCCCGGCGTGTTCTGCACCTGCGCGGCGAGGTGGCGGCGCTCGGCGCGCAGCCGCCGCACCTCGAGGGCGAGGAGGCGGCTGTCCTCGCGGGCGGCCAGCAGCGCCGCCCGGCCCCGCACCAGCGCGTCCTGCAGCAGGCGGCCCTTCTCGCGCAGCAGCAGCACCTCGTCGTTGCGCCGCACCAGCATGGTGGCGATCACGTCGCGCTCGTCCAGGCGCGACTCGGCCTCGCGGCGCAGCTCGGTGCGCTCCGCGTCCGCCTCGCGCAGCAGGTCGTTGAGGCGCCTCTCCTCGGCGGCCAGCGCGGCGGCCTGGGCGCGCAGGGCCTTGACGGCCGCCTCCAGGCGCTGCGCGTCGGCGCGCAGCCCGTGCGCCTCGGTGCGCGAGCGCGCGAGCAGCCGCTCCAGCTGCACCGCCTGCTTCTCGCGCGTCGCCGCCTCCTCCTTGAGCTGCTCGTTGGACTTGTCCAGGGCGTGCACCTGCGCGACGGCCTCCTGGTGGCGCTCGCGCTGCTCGGTCAGTTCGCGGACCGCCATGCCCAGCTGACTACGCACGCCGTCCATCTAGAAAAGAAGCGCGGTGCCGGTCAGGTGAGGATGGCACCACCGGCAGATGGACCGACTTCTCTGACGTCTACCTGCGCGCTGAGCTTGAGTTGCGCTGCCGAGCAGTCCGCCATTTCTCTTTGGCAGGTGGAGATTTTGATGTCCCGCAAACGCTGCTCTTCGAGTGCCACCTCCAGCTGGATATGTGCACGCCAGAGCCCACTTAGTGCACTTACTAAAGAGCGAGTACTATGTTTGCAACTGCTAAGTCAGATTTGTGTGCATTTGGTATCAGAGCTTAAAAGTTTTAAGGCACTGTTACTGTACCCGGAGGTTCTTGTCGGCGAGGCTGGAGGCGAGCTGTTGCTTCTCCTGCCGCAGGCGTTCGCGGGCCGTCTCGTCCTGGCGAGCCTTCTTGCGGCACAGGGCGTACTCACGGCTCAGGTCGTCCCAAAGCTTTTGTTTGCTCCTTAGCACCCTCGCCTGTTTTGTTTTTTCCAATATTGTTTTCCATTACTTTTGTACTTTGTAGCGATTTGTGTATTTAGTGTAGTCGAGAGAGCGTACCTGCTGTTCCGTCACCCTGCTGAGGCGCGCCCGGCCAGACTCCATCTCAGCTGCCCTGGCGCCCTGCTGTAGGGCGCGACGCTCGGCGGCGGCGAGCTCCTCGCTTGCGCTCTGGTTCGCGGGGAGGGAGGCGGCCAAGGTCACAAACTCGCACACGGCCACACACACACACACGCGCGCGCGCGCGCGCACACACGCACACACACACACATAGGCTCACATACGCTCAAGTAAACACGCGCGCGGTACACTCCTTTTTTTTATTTCAATTTTTTTTTTTTTTTGCTATTTTCGCTGCCATCTTTTTCTCACACCCATGTAATTGGCACCCATTCAGACGGGGCTTAGCGCGGGGCCGGTCTCTACCCTCATGCGTATAGGGGTGGCGCAACCCTGCTGCTTCAATCGGAGCAGGAAAACATTGAAAAGCCGGCTATCACATGGCGGGCGAAAAAGGGAGGGATATCCGAAAAAATAAATAAATCGAGGCTTCAGCCTAAAACCCGCAACCCGCAAGGGAGTTGCTTGTGTCCGGCTGAGTTGTCATCATACCTCGAGCTCCCTGCGCAGGTCAGCCCTGTTGGCGAGCAGCGCGTCGCGCTCCGCCACGAGCGCCGCCAGCTTGGCGTCGTGGCTGCGGAGCCGGGAGGCGGCCGCGTCGTGCGCCTTCTCCAGCGCGGCCAGCTGCCGCCGCTGCCGGCCCAGCTCCAGCTCCGCCACCTGCAGCTGCGCCCGCCCCTCCTCCTCGCTCTGTGCGCGCCGCTCCAGCAGCTGCGACATGCCGCCGTCCCCCCACACACGTGACTATCCGGCTCCGAACGGGCGTTTCGTTTCCGACAGCTGGTCACGCTCTAAATTTGGGCTATAGGCGCGGGTGCGGACGATCACGCCCGTCGACCAAAAATTCGGGGAAAAGGCACATATGCAAACGCATCTCCGGAGCTGGCTATTGCAATAAATGTGGTCTGTTTCCCTGGCCATAGGCACCTGCTGCAGCGCCCCCGTCTGCTGCTCGCCGCGGTCCACCTGCCTCTGGAGCTGGTCGGCACGCTTGCGCAGCCGGTCCTCGCGGAGGCTGGCCTCGCGCAGCAGCTTGTCCTGCAGCACCGCAGGATGAGCCGATCAACAAGCGATCTCACACATTCAGAGACGCGGCCCGCGGGCCACTCTGGCAAGGTGCGAGAGAGACGGAGGTAATGCGGAGTAAGTGAGAGCGAGTGAGAGGTTTCACCCTTCGGCCCGCGCGTCGTCTGCTCTCTGAGACCCCTATAAGGCGCCTGCTGGTTAGTCAACATATTGCCTGCAATGCAAGTGTGTATTGCGGGTTAGCCTACCCCGAACATCGCAGGCGCCAAGGAGTCGAGTACCGCATTCATCTGAGCAAAACTGACGCACTTTCTGTACGATTCCGAATCCATTTTGTGACCTGCTGGTCGGCGCGTTCCCGGGCAGCTTCTAGCTGCGTCTGCAGTCCGGCCACCTCGGCGGCGCGCGCCTCCAGGTCTCTCCGGAGCTGCTGCGCGTCGCGCTCGACGTTCTCCTTGTGGCGCACCTCCAGGGCGTGGGCGGCCTGCGCCGAGGTCAGCTCCTCGGTCAGCTTGTTCGCGCGCATGTTGGCGAAGGACGCGCGCCTGCCGGGCAGAGCGGTTCGATGGAGGGTGAGTGGAAGGTAGGGTGGAAGGCCGGCGACCGCGCGGCAGACCTGGCGATGGCGTCCTGGTGGTCGTAGGTGGACCGCAGCAGCTCCTTGACGTGCGTCAGCTCCTCGGCGAGGTCCTGCTCGCGGACGAGCCTCCGGTGCGCGTCCAGCTCGCTCTTGATGTCCTCGCCGGCGCCGGGCGCGGCCGGCTCCTGCAGCGTGGACAGGTGCTCGGCCCGCGTGCGCTGTCGCTGCAGCTCGGCGCGCAGCTCCTCCAGCAGCACGAGCGTCGTCTGCTCGCGGCCCTGGCTCGCGTCCGCGTCCGCCCGCGCCTCGGCAGTGAGCCGCTCCTACGGGCCGAGTGTACTCGGAGTCGGGTATCGTCGTCGCCTTGGGGTGGTGTCTGAGACGTGAACGTGAACGCACCTCCTCGCGCAGCTTGGCCTGCAGCGCCAGCACGTCCTCCTCCAGCGCCTGCTGCACGGCCAGGGCCTTGTCGGCCGCGGCGCGGGCGTCCGCATGGTCCCGCAGACACGAGCGCGCCCAGTCCACCGCCTCGCGCCCCGCCTGCGCCCACCGCGGGTGACCGTTTTAGGACAGGGGCAGGCCAGGACGCCGTCGAACCATCGGCGACACCACCACCACCGCCGCGACCTGTCCGATGCGCTGCACGGTGGCCGTGAGATTGGTGAACCCCTGCCGTGACTCCATGATGGGCACCACGTGGTAAGTCTCTTTGCGTATGATGTCCTCGAGCTCCTGCAGGGCTGCCATCTGTTGCGTTTTGTTTTTGTCGTCATGTTTAGTCCCAGAAAAGGGCGAAAGTCACTTTGTAAACAGCCTTGTGTTCAGTACAGCACCTGGCGGTCATGATCGTTGAGATTGGTAAAACTGTCGGATGAGTCCTCCTCTTCCTCCTCGCTGTCGCTGTTTGCCGTGGAAAGGAAACTGTCCTCTCTACGTCCCCCGTCCATCTTTTCGGTGTGTCTTACGGTACTACGTGTGATGCTTCCGACAAAAAAAATGAGTAAAAATAAAAACAAATAAAAAGAGTGATACGCAGGGCTGCCAGCCGGCCGCCTGCAAGCCGCTCTGTCGGCCGTTGCTTAGTGATGCGCGCGCGGTTGGTACGACTGGGCTGGACTCGACCGAGAGTGTTTGAGTTTGGGCGGGAAGCTTGCTGGCTGGCCTGTCTGTTTGGTTTGCACCCCAGTCTTACCTGGACGAGTAGAGGACGCGGCCGTTCTGGTAGAGCCGCACGAACTTGTTGGGCGTGGTGATGGTGTGCAAGTACGACTGCTTGCCGTTGTAGAAGTAGGTATCCGGCTTCCAGATGCGCTCCAGCATGGTGATGGACAGCGCCAGCGTCTCCTTGTTGCCCTGGAAGGCGAGTCGGCGGTCCACCCAGCTCTGGCGGAAGTAGCAGTCCATGCTGTACGTCTAGGGAGAAACCATACGAAACAAAAACAGTCACAAGAGCCAGCACACCCCGCACAAAAACAATACACCCCCTTCAGTTTAAGGGGAATAAGGCTATGCTTGGTTCTTACCATGTCCACCTCCGAGATGGGACCCATGCTCCGCACCATGATGTCCACCTCCACGACGGCGGGCGGGCCTGCAGACAAGGGACGAAAACAAAACATGAAAAATAATAATAGGTGTTAACCTCGGTGTTTTCAGCAGTAGCAGCAGCAGTGGGACGATTGCCACAACAAAACAAACAGTCGTCTCTCTGTCGACCCCGTGCGCCCTGCGTAGCCCTGCGCAGCCCGGTGCGCCCTGCAGGACCCTCCGCTGGGCTGCCCGGTGCGCCCCGTCCTGCCCGACCCGCCCCCGGGTGCGGCCCCGGGTGAAAGGCCAGACTCTGGACAACTTTGATAGGCCTGCCTTGCCTTGGCCGGCGTCATCAGGCGAGAATTAGCATTCTACGATTAGTGGGGTAGTGGGGTCCGCCTGGCCTAGGGCTGGAGGAGAGGCGCTGCCTGGGTGGGCGAAAGAGAGAAGGGGG